TGCCTGTTGGCTCCCATTGAGCTGTGCCAAGTTGCCAGCCCTGGAAGTCCCTGGAAATGTGACTCTAGCTCCAGCATGGGTGCACTTGGCCAGGTTACACACACTGGCACCCCAGTGGGTGAAGCTACCCTTGATATCACAGAATCACAGAATCTTAGGGGCTGGAAGGGACCTCAAAAGATCACTCAGTCCAACACCCCTGCCAGAGCAGGGTCACCCAGAGCACATCACACAGGAATGTGTCCAGGTGGGTTTGAATGTCTCCAGTGAAGGAGACTCCACAACCTCCCTGGGCAGCCTGTTCCAGGGCTCTGTCAAATGGGCACCTTGTTTCATAAGTGCACCAAATGCAGAAGCTGGGGAAGACATCAATAGGATTTTGTCCTCTAAAACCCCCAGCTCTATGTCTCCCAGGCTGAGGTGGCTCACAGTGTTTCCTATCACATCTAAAATGCTTTCATGACCTGGAAAAAGTTATTCTGTTAAAACAAGCCATGGGGGACATGGGGGACATGGGGAACATGGGGAGAGAGGGCAGAAAGTACATTAAATTGATGCAGTTTACCAAAATCAGCATTAAAAGACAATTCACATGAGAACATCCAAGTGCCTCCACATGGAACTATTTCCTGCCTATAAATCCCATCACCAAACCCAGAGGTGACTTGAGGGCAGCCAGAATTGTCCCTGGCCATAAGGAAACCTCAGCATCACTCTGCTCAACCTGCAAACTGTGGAGTAGAATGATGCCACCTTCCAGATCATCTCCCAGGAAGCCTGTGAGCAGGTTTTGGTAATACACGTGTAGTACCAAATACATGTACACACGTGGAGGACACATGGAATTAAACTGTGTTTCAGGATAGAGGTGCAGGACACATGGAATTAAACTATGTTTCAGGATAGAGGTGCAGGACACATGGAATTAAACTGTGTTTCAGGATCACCCCGTGGTGCATCTGGCTCCATGACTCACTTTTAAAGAGCCACGTTGCCAACATCATGAAGGACAAACCCAACCATTTAGCAGTTGCTTCTTTTTATTATTTTCTTTTTTTATTATGTTTTTAAAATACTACAGGACTTGGGGGGGGTTTGTTTTAATGGCAAGGCAAGAATTTGCTGCTCCTCCCCGTGGTGAAGTTACTTTCAAGTCAGTGAAAGTTCTTGGCCCGGGATGAAAAGTCTTTGCCAATTAGCGCTCAACAACTTCAGTTCATCCCTCCTGGTTCAAGATGAGTAGGAACCTAATAAGGCTGCGATAAAAGGGCAAAAGGCACCCGAGTACCCAAAGGGGATTAATGGGCTCTTCCATTTATTTGTCTTCCCACCAGCTGAACTGTTACAAGTCTTGATGGTCTCCCAAGGGCCGGGCGCGGGGTCTCCAATGGGCATCTCCAACCCCGAGGGGTGAGACCTTCCCCCTGGGCCATGCCAAAAACCAACAAAGCCCCGGGGATCAGGTAATGAAACTCCAGCTTTCCCCCCTCTCCACCCCTCTTCCCTTCTTTGAGATTTATTTACTGGCAGCTGACAAGGGGCAAATGCAGCTGGAATTGTGTAGTCAAGGCCCTGTCAAGCCTTCAGAGGCACCCTTATGTCCAATCACCTTCCTGACTGGCATGTCCCTGAAAAGCCCTCGGCGCTGGTCCTTAACAGCTCCCGACAGCACAAAGGACACTCCAGACAGATGCCTACATGGCATCCTGCAGCATTTTAAAAGAGAATTAGTGGTTTTAATTATGGTCGTGGTATGAAAGGAAACCATGCAAGCTCGGCAGGAGACCTTTGATCAAACCCTTTCGCTAGCACAATGCCTCGGAACTGTGACTATTCCTAGCAAGGGGCCTTTTCTCACTGAATGACTCACCAGTGATCTTTGAATGCAGACAAGTTCCTCACCCTCCCTCTTCATTAGTGAGCATTTCTATACAGGCCCTATATAGTGCTGCCCAGTCCCCCCAGCTATACAATGGGGGGGAAAAAAAAAAGAATCCCTACAGATTCTGGCCCCTACTTAGGAAGTGCTGAAGGACTCTGAGTGACTTTATTCATTAAAACAGGTTGCTATTAATTAACTGTCATAATAAAATAAAGAACCATTATTTGCATTTCTTAGCGTGCTCCCTTTAGTAATATGTATAAAAGATGCTTGTAACAAAAATGAATTTATAAGGGAGAAAAAAACCCTCAGAAGTCTTGCCCCCCCCCCTCCCTTTTTTCTTTTTTTTTTAAGGTCTAGGCAGCAGGAGCCTGACTAATTATTAGGACCAGTTTTGCAAGAGAACAAATAGAGGTAAAACACAAATATGAAAGTGATTAGGGAAGTGCAAAATCCTGTTTACTTGGCAACCGATTCATGCAACTGAGACTAACGAAGAGCAAATCAGCTTTGCTTGTTTGATAAACTTAAGGGTGCCACCTAAGAGGGGCTGATAAAAATTAAAACTTCTGCCAGCATCCCTCAGTGCTGCCTCGGAGCCAACAGGCAGGCAACTGCCTCCTCTGTGAGCACCAGCAAATCTCATTTGGACAGATACAGGGGGAGGAATTTTGTATCTTCTGTCCCTGTTGAGTATCTTCACCTTTGCCACGGGTGGTACCTTGGGAGCTCAGCACCCCTCACAGACACCCACACCACACCTGCACACTCCAGACACTGAGTGCACGAACACCAACCAGAGTTGCAACCAGTTCTGCTTTGCTCCCTCATGTTTCCACTGCTTTTCACACCCGGGAAGGTTTTTGCTGGTGGGAAAGTTCTCCCTTATAGTTTGCATCACTGCTTATTGCATTATAAAATGATAGGTTACTCGAGGCAGGCTGTGGGCTGGGATACCTTTGTCCAGCTCCTCTTTTCTCCCAAGTAGATAGTGGAATCCACAAAAGCTTCCAATTATTTCAAGACTATGCAGCTAAGGAGGGGCATCTAATCAAGATAAAGAAAACCCTCAGCTCACTATATTTGCTTGAATGGATTTCCAATAATGCAAGTAACAAAAGCATTGAAAAAAAAATGGATTCCTAATGCTTTTCTGCCAGGCTGAAGGACTGATTTTGAGAAGGGAGAAGAAAGCCAGCCCTGAGAAAGCTGCCCAGAGGAATGTATGATATTCCCCTGCTCTGTACAAACACTTCTGCAGGGATTGAGGGAAAGGAAGAGATTTAAGTGAGGCACAGTTGACCTGAAATGTAGCCAATTACAACACAAAGAGTTAAAATGACACCCCTGAACCTCTTCTCTTCCTCCTCTCTCCTCTGCTTTGTCATTTGGCAACCCAGAAGCCACAAAGCAGAGCTCAGCAAGTTTGAAATAAGTTTAGTTTATTCCTTTTTATTTAGTTAGTTATTCCTTTTTACTGCTCATCTCTGCTTGTATGGGAATTGTTTCTAGAAGGAACAGAGGGGATTGTCACAGGAATCATAAGACACAAGTAAGTCAGAAAAAGAGGGAGAGAAATAAAGAATGTTCTTTTGCAACCAGAGTTAGAGATTCCTAGATGGCAGCTTGATTTTTATATGGGCAGCATTCAATGAAAGTCACCCTGGGAAAACTGAGCACTTGGAGAGAACAACCAAAAAGGATTTTATACTTTTAAAGGGATCTATTAGGATTAGCAGCCACAGGAGTCTCAATCTGCACCTGACTGCACCTCAAGCCCCAGACCAAGAGAGCACCCACATGCAACACCCCCAGCTCCTGCAGGCATCCTGATGTGCTCCTCCAAGCCTCTAGGAAGCTTCCAGAGGTGCCACTTGATAACATGATCTTTGCAGAAGTTACTGATTTCTTCTCTGAAAATGTTACTAGTCCAAATTAAATCCTGGACTGGCAGCCATTTCTCTTGTCTAAAAACACTGGGCTGAGATCTCACAGAACAAAATAGGAACATTTTGACAAGTACAACTTCCCACTAACAACACAAGAGTTTTGGGTCTATCTTAGCACTTGAAGGACGTGCCTACAGAAAACACTTGGAAAGACATGCTGTTCTATGTCAGTTTTTTGGAAAACACACATCTGAGCTCTTGTTAACTGAGTTGCTTGGCCTTGGAGGCAGCCTGAAAAGCAGGATGGATCCACAGTCTATATTCTTTTGGTTAAGGCTCTCGACATCTCTAACATTGCAGTTCTGGCATCCCCAGCACATGCAAGTACGTGGCTGAGAAGACCATTATGGGCTCACATGGAAGGAGGACACAGCACAGACGCCATGAGGCATGGGGACAGCAATGTCACAGAGAATCTGCTCCCATGTCCCCATGCAGGGTCTCAGCACCACAGTCCCTCTGCCCCAGTGGGGACAGCACAGGAGATGCCACACTGCTGCCTCCACTCACAGTGCTCTGCAATGGAAAATATACAAGCTGCTTGCTCACTATTGGAAAACTAGTGCAATAAAGTCTAACCCAGCATAAAATCCCAATGTAAAGAAAATAACCATCCCAGCAAAGCAAGGAAGGCAGGAAGAGTTGGCTTGGTGGTCTCTACTCACCATGCCACACCAGAAGGACACATTGTCTGCAGCACCTCAGGCACAGGCACAGCCAAGGAGCAGTAAGCAATGAGGCTCCTGCAAAGGACACTGTCCCACATACTCGTCCTGATGGAAACCTACCCAACCTTGCTGCCTTGTGACCATAAAAACACACAGACACAACACGGCTAAAGAAACATGGCTGTGGAATGGCTCAGGAAGAGAAGTCACACTTAAAGGCTAAATACATTTTTTCCATCTATAAAGGATGCTACCTTCATAAAAAAATAAATTCAAAAGATCTTCCCAGTGCAACCAATTCAGAGGTTTCATTTAAAACTTTCTTTTTGGAAAACCAGGAATTTTATTTAGTGATTAAGTGGTTTTTTTTCCCCCCCGTGCACAAAACAACACAAACAGTTCATTTGGCAACAACAGCCAAAACCCAAAGAATGGTACGTTCCATGGAGGGAATCACCCTTGATTTCCTCTCCACTGCCATTTCTGTTGCTTCTTAAAACCACCCTCATGTCATCAAGGACTAATTCAGATTTGAAGACTTTGAAATGTCAGCACTTCAGCAGGTGGGTAGAGGACCAGGCGCTACCCAGGCCTCCGTCTCAGACCTTCTTTCATTTCCCTCAGTCCCTGTAGCTCTTTCTTCAGGTGCTCCACAGCCTGCAGAATATCCTGCTTCTGGGGATCATCCTCTGCTTTCTCAGAGTACAGAAGGAAATGTTTCACCGTGTCAGAGAGCAAGGCCTCAGGATCCACATCCACCCCATGGAGACGCAACATCCTCTCGCAGGCGATGGCGTAGTTTTTGTGCCAGTTCACTGGGTGATTTGGATGAGAGTTGACAATTTCTTTGTAAGACTGTTAAAAGGGGAAAAAAAACAAAAGGGGGAGGGTGAGGAGGGGCGAGGGGAGGGACACAAATTAACTGAACGAAGGAGACCAACAGCTCTTCACAGTGCTTCAAAACTGTAAAGGAACAGACGCTGTTTATTCCAAGCCCAGAGTTGGAGTATTTCTCTAACTCACTCTGTGTTTGATGTGCAATCGTGTGAATCAGAAATCCAAGGGGGGGCTGAAACGTTTCCCTTCCTACAGCAGCTGTTTGTTTACAAACGTTGCAGATGATGGTGCTAGCCCCACCACACATTAGGCACCTCCCCAAGAGAGGTGTTACACCGGGCTGGGGAAAAAAAGAGCTTTAACTGCTGTGCCTGGCAAGAGATTTACTCAGTATTTCAGGAGATCAGGATGTCTTTCATAGGACTGGAGCAGTCTGTTAACTGGAGAGGGAATATTCATAAGCTCAACAGCAGGCACGTGCCCAAGAACTCTGCAGAACAGCAAAAACCACAGCAAAATGGGCAGGAGTTGAAAGGAAACTTATTTGTTGACTCTTTGCTGGGGTGTGAAACTCTTCCTCTCTGCTGACACACACTGATCATTTTGTGCATCTGCTGGCATCTCAGGCAGTCCAGTATTCCCAGAGATACCTACACCCACTTATGGGTGTTATTCCTTGGTGTGAAATGCAGCAGAATTAATTTGCAGTGAGAAGACTGTCAGATTTTACACTTGCTGGCTCAGATGTATGACTGTGTAATGACAGAGAGGACAAGGGCAGAGAGGGGACTTCAGGACAAGAAAGCTCTTGGCAATCTCTGGGTTGGAAGCTCAGCACAGACGCCATAATTATAGCAGAAGTAGGGTGGCAACTGGTTAGATTTTGGCATCCTCTGTGACCGAGGGGGCAAGTAGGAATGGATAAAGTCCCTGAACTAATCTCTTTGAATTTGCTGTGCTCCCAGTTTGGATGAAGGAAGGAGGATGCACATTACAGGATTGCCAACATGTATGGGAATACCTTATTTCTATGGAATCAGGAAATTTAAAAAAAGAAGAAAATTATGGAGACTGCAGGGATCATTCCTAACTAAAATATATGACTTACAGTGTAGGCAAAGGTGTAAAGTTGGGATTTCATTTCTGGAGTCACACTGGCAGTTTCTGCAAGGTCAAATATAAAGAAAGCTGTTTTCATCCTAGAAAAACAAGAAAAACTTCCATGTAATAACTGCTTAACATACCCAGCTCCCATCACATGGTTATACACATCTTCAACTTGTCCAGGCAGCTTTTCCATTGTGTGGGATAGCACACCAGCTTCTCCATTTAAGTGGTCAGTGGTACAAATTTCTCCCCATGTTTTCTCACCCTATGTTCAAACTATTCTCTGCCTCTTTAAGCAGAACCTTTTGGTGAACAAAACCCCCACTTTCCTGAAGGACTTCCCAGCAGTCATGCATCCTTCATCTCATTCTGCCAACCTGTTCCTTGCAAAGCTTGGCACCTTTAGATCCAACAGGGCCATGGATCATCAAGCTGCCTGCTCTTGGTGTGTATTCCCACACCAGTGAGTTGGCATTGCCCACCAGCTGTTGGAAGGGAGCAAAGGAGCATCACCTGGCTTGCCACATCTCCTCGTTGGCGACAGCTTCCCAGGAAGAGGGCTTGAAACTAAATGGGAAGGAGAATAAAATTCAGCCATTGGATCCACGTCATTGTGTTTCACCCATTGCACAATCAACCCTTCTAACCCAGGCAGACACAGACCTCCCAGGCAGAAGGAAACCCATCATGAAGGCTAAGGCTCTGACAGCAGGGAATTCATCTTGTCCTCAGTCAGTCATAAAACTTTATTTTTCTCTGCCCATAGAAGGAGACCCTGGTACATCAAGTGTTTCACAGCACCTGAGCTACCCTTACAGTGAGAGATGATTTTTACCATCCATCACAGCTCAGCCTACAACATTTAAAGCTTTGGATGTCCCAAGTCCTCAATGTTATTTGGCTCCTGATCAAGTTTTAAGATCAGAATTGGACGTGACATTTGACTGGAAACACCCCCTCTATTTTTAAACCTAATAAAAATACCACGTGCAGATTTATTACATAGTCCAAACCACAAAATATTATGATTATTGCTTGTGTTTCATTTCTTTAGTCCTGCTATGGATGTGGTTATGCTGCTGAAGAATGATGAGCAGAAAGCAGCAGAGTCATGCCCCTCTCTTGTACCTGCCATAGTCCTCAGTCCAGTTATAGAGATTTCTTGTAAGATGAATCCACTCTGCTGGATCAAAGACAACATCAGAAGGAACCAACTTTTCACACGTCCCCCACGGCCAGAGTGAATAGCCCCTCCTCCAGGTTGAGTCCCCTTCATGAAGACCTATGCAGACAAACACTTCCTTACTGCCAAAAAAGAAACAAAACCAGAGAGAGCAATGGTGAAGCCACGCCAGGGACCCTGGGCCACCCCTCATGCCTGAGGAGGCCACACACACCACACCAGTGCAGCAGGCAGGTCTTCAGCTGCACCACATTTTCTTTTCATCCGCCCAAGACCACATCACATCAGAAAGGACACGTCTCTGGGTCAGTCTGCAAAGCAGCTCTGCAGCTGCCAGTGAATAACCCCATCTGGCACGGCATGTCATGTGCAGCCAGGACAGCAGACACGTCCTCTCCCCAATGCTGGACCTCAAAAAACCTGCCAGAAGCTGTCAGAGAAGCCCATTTCTTCCCCATGGCACCTGGCAAAGCTTCTTCTGCCTCCCCACCCATGCACGCTCACCCTGGCTAGTCTAAATGCAGATGCTGTTCTTATTCATGTGAGTATCTAATCCTTTCTCCACTCTTCCTAAGCTATTTTTATATGATGATTATTCCTGGACTACATTCATTCTATGCAAATCATTTAGCCACAACATTCACGAAGGAGAAGCAGCAGCAATTTGCTCTCCCACTATCATCATTTGAGTACACGGGAAGGTTCCTTTCTTTCTGATGAACTGTATCAACAACAAAAATAATCAGTAAATACTCTCTGCCCATCACCTTCTTATTTATCCTTCCTAAAACCTGAAGCAACCTCAAAACAACAAGCAACATTATATCCAGATGGAGTTACTTCTGCATCAATATTTGCTTTAATTGCAAAAATAATCTCACCACCAGGGAAGGAATTCAGAGGAGAAAATTGGTCTTTTGAATGCAATACCAAGCTGTTCCATAAACAATTTCAGGAACAAAGAAATAAAAAGGTGGAAGAATTTTAGGGAAGCTGTTACATATGAAAGACATGCTTACTGTTTATTTACTTTGAGGAAACGATGGAGATTAAAAGCAAGTGTCCCATCAGGTAATATTCCTTCCACGGGGTTCCACCGGCTCCCAGGAAAATGAACACCAGGTAAATGTTTGGCCAGCTTGGGTAAATACCACCCATAAGTCATCATCTGTCACCACAAAGAGAAGGCAAATGAAAGCAAGAAACAAAGTATTTGTACATTTTACATCCAGAAGCTGCAGGAAACGGTTTCTGCAGAAGGAATGACTCGATTTGCTCAGTCAGGGCACCTCCCATTTCAGCATCTGCCTGGGACCACAGCATGAGACCAGGTCACCAGTGGTTTCTGGTCTGAGGCAAGTGGTCCTCTCTGCTGAGGGGCCAAAAGAAACAAAATAGCTACTAGTGGTGAGAGACAGAACATAGTTTTGGTTTGGTTAAATACAGAATCATAGAATCATTTTAGTTGGAAAAGATCTGTAAGATGATCACATCCAACCATTGACCCAGCACTGCCAAGGCCACCATTAAATCATGTCCCTCAGCATCACATCTACATGGTTTTTAGACACCTGCAGGGATGGGGACTCCACCACTGCCCTGGGCAGCCTGAGCCAGGGCCTAAAAATCCTTTGATATAAGGTTTTGGGTTTCTCAACAAGTCACAAACCCTTGCTGCAAAGCCAAGTGCAAGGACTGATGTGGCAGCAGAAGTGGGGGTGTCCTCTTCTGTAATGGGGGATTTTTCTTCTTCCATTTCTCAGGAAAAAAGGAAAGAGAGAAAACATCACCGAGGACACACAGCACCTCTGTTTTAAAGTAAGAAACCAGAGGCAGAAATCTGTAAAACTACTTCTGAGGGACCAAGATGAAATGGCCTCAAGTTGTGCCAGGGGAGCCTTAATTTGGATATCAGGAACATTTTCTTCCCCGAAGGGCTGTCAGGCCCTGGCCCAGCAGGGGAGTCCCCATCCCTCGAGGGATTTCAAAGCCCTGTAGATGTGGTGCTGAGGGACATGGCTCAGTGGTGGCCTCAGCAGGGCTGGATTAATGGTTGGACTGGATGATCTTGAAGGTCTTTTCCAACCAAAATGATTTTGCAGTTGTAAGATAACAAACGGGATGCAAGGAATAAGCATCTACATGGTAAAGCACTTGGGAGAAGCCCCAAAGTCTCATTGCCCACAGGGCACCTGCTGCTCTGCCACCCTCCAGGCTGCTCCCTGCATCCTTCTGCTGCCCCAGCATCTGTATTTTGGGGCAACCACAGAAAACATCAGGGACAAGGCTTCTTCAGCGAGGCAAATGTCAGCCCTGTGCCACATCTGAACATCTGCCATGATGAAGAACTTGGGCTTCCCCTTCTCTCTACCTGCTGTTGCCTCCCCGTTGGATTTTTGGGCTTGGATGGGGCTCACACACCATCTCCCACCCCAGAGGAACCCACAACACTTGCAAAAAGATTCAATTTTATTTCTGCATCATGAGTTGTCTTTGAGCAAAGAGACTCCCCTCAAGAAGAGAAAGGACAAAAAAGGAACTTTTACATCTGTCTGTTGCCTCTTCTAATATTACTTTCTCAACCTACCTCCTGGTCCACTAAGGTGACATCAGGTCTCATCCCTTCACAATAATGAACATAACGAAGAGCGTTCCCAGGTAAGTCTCCTCTTAGCAAGATCACTGCCCCTGGTGGCATAGAGGACAGCAGATTCCTTGCAAACTTATCAACAACATAGTTGTTGCTCTGGTCACAAGCACTTAAGAGAACAGATAAAAAAAACCAGCATCTTAAAAGCAGGCATTTGCATGGCTTTGCATATCTTCAGGACAATTGTGTGCAATAGGCATGGAGAGGTGAAGTCCTTCACCTTGGCCAGATCTTGTTGAAAAGCATCATCTCCATTTACAGAGAAACCCAGGCACAGAAATGAAGCATTTGGACTCTAGTCCCCCAGAAACTTGCACCAGAGGCACAAGTCACTACAGTTTTGCCAAAATACGTGCTCCTTGAATGCCTTCACCTTAATGCTGATGTTTCCTTGGGCTAAACCTAAAGACTTACTAGTTGGAGCTGGAAGTGCCAGTACAATTATGGTTCTGTAAAGCATTTGAAACCCTCCCCATCCTTTTAATTAAGCACTAAAAACCAAGTTATTGTAGCATCAGGTGAAAGTGCATCTACAATAGCTGTGGTTAGAACCTTTTTGTTACACCATCATGCACTGTACACACTCCAGGTATAGACTCAAGAAGAGGATGTTCCATGACGAGGCTCAGGACATGAGCTCTGACTGGCTCACCTACAGAGCAGCCTTTGGGAACAGTCGTGTGCAAAGACAGGATTCCCAAGTATGAAGTCCTGCAAGTTCTACACTTCAACAGTTGGTCAACCTCCACCCGAGCATCCCTACTACTACACTGTGTCCCACCCAAGCCACTGCTGAGTCTTTGGTGTGGTTATGGGGTAAGGAAGCTCTACACTACAGATGTAAAAGTAAAACAAATTCAAATACCTCAAAAAGTAAAATACATTAAGAAAAAAGACCCAGGGCATAAGGTTTCCCATAGCAAAGCAACAGAAGGAAGTGACTGCCCAGGTCAAATGAATTCTGCAAACCATATAGGAAATAAAGCACAGATTTTTTAGTTGATTTCATTTTAAATGTATG